CTCGCCGCTGCGCCTCGCGATTCCGGAGCTAAGCGTGGAGCATCCGCCGGGCTGCGGCTGCGGTGCCGCGCGCCGGGGATGCCCCGCGCCGCCCGCCCGCGCCGGACATGGGCAGCACTTGCGACAAAGGTACCGCGCGCGTCCCCTCCCCGCGGCACTGGCTCACTGTGTCCCGCGTGTCCGCATGCCCTCCCTGGGAGCAGCGTCGGCGCGAGCCCAGCTCCTGTGAATATTCATGCTCGGCACAGCAGCCCGCATGCATTGAGGTTGCCAAAGTCACATCTTAGTAAGGTCGTATCGGCAGGACGAGGAGAGTTTGACCTATTTATTTTTTATTTTTTATCTGCAGAGGCGCATATATGTGTATATATATGTGTGTGTGCGTGGTGCTCTCCAGGCAGGCGAGAGCCTTCCGACCATCGTATGTTTGAGCTCGTGGTAGGGTCCTATAGGACCGAACTTTGACCTCTGTCAAGTCGGGTGCAGTCGAGGTGAAAACTGGGCTTCCTGGTGTCTCCATGTCGGTTATCTGCTAATTCCTGTATAGCTTGTGTAAATATATATATATATATATATAATAATCATAAAAATATACAGTTTTTGGAATGGTAGTGAACAAACAGCAATCGAATCATAAATACCACCGGGTATTGATCTGCACCAGTTTTTTTTTTTATTTTAACTGCTTACTGGCTATGAGCAAGTGGGATTCATAACCTTGAGGCTGCGGGTGGAAATGCCATTGTAATTTAGTGAGTAAATCAGAGATGGAGGAATTGGGCAGTGTTTTAATCCACTTGAAACTGTGCCGGGGCGCCCGCGCGGTGCAGCACAGAGCCCTCCTGCGCCCACTCACCTCCCTCCTCTTCTCTCTCAGAGGTCCCGGCAGAGAGGTCTCCTCGCAGACGGAGCATCTCGGGGACCAGCACGTCGGAGAAGACCAACTCCATGGATGCGGCGAACACGTCTCCTTTCAAAGTGCCGGTGAGTCCCCCTTTCCTGCAGGGGAGCAAATTTCCCCATCGAATCGGAGGTGGAGGTTGAAATATCTTAATGTACAAGCAGGCTCTGAGAAGGAAAAAGTATTTACTTAGTATTTCCATTTTTCAGGTGGTTTTGGTACGTGCTGCTATATATTACTGGTAATATTTCTGGTAGATCCGTAGTTTGCTTATTTCTCCTGGATGGATCTAAGGCTGCAAATAGTGACACATCAGCATTAATGTGGGCAGCAACCTATATAAATACTTCTGAAGTTGCTGCCAGGGTTTGCATTCTATATTCAATTTTTGGCTAGGAGAAAAGTTCCTCTAGGTTGGTAATGGCATGTTATTTTTGCTTTTTGTTAGAGAAGTATAGAAAATGGAGATGGTCCTGCATGTGTCATCTTTAATAATAAATAAATAAATAAATACTGGTTTTGACAACAGCAATGTAAATAGAAAAGCTTAAGGTGGGTCAGCGCTAATGGAAAATGTGTTGTCTAAAGCAACCTATAAACTCCATTGGAAATAAAGAAGGGAGCAGAGGGAAGGGCTGTGTGACAACCTGGTAGCTACCACACTTCTCTTAGTCACTGTTAAATATACTGGGTAATGATGTTTAGTCCCTTTCTAGGACTACAGGATAATTTAGATTGGAAGGGACCTCTGGAAGTCTCTGGTCCACCCTTCTCTTCAGAGCAGGGTCAGCTCAGCTCAGGATGCTGGATCTGGCCGCACTTTGGCAGTCTCCGTGGATGGAGATCCCGCAGCCTCCTGGGCAGCCTGTGCTGGACATGCTCTCTGGGAAAGCTCCCTCTTTCTGTGGGGGAGCTTTCTTGTCAGAACCAGATTTGTACTTTTAACGTCTACTGAAAGACTTGGAATCCATTCTGATCTAGCTGGAAAAACATCCAAGGCAACCCTGTATCAGGAGATATTGTTTCCCTTGGAGAAGGGAAGGCCGGGCGATTCTATCCATGTGTCCGAACGCCCGGTGGGAGGGAGCAAAAAAGATGGAAGCAGACTCTTCTCAGGGGTGCTCAGTGCCAGTCAGCACAGGTGGAAATACAAGAAATTCTGTTTAAACCTGATATATGTGTATATGTATGTATTTTTTTTTACCATCTTCATCTATGGGAAGTTCTCGATCTTCTTTGTCTTCATCAAGAAATTCTCCCAGCCTCTGGATGGGTCTGTGTGCTGTGCCTTTAGATGAATGCATATATGTATTATGGTAGTCTAACAACTGCAGCCTATATAGCAGGATCATTTACTATCTGTATTGCTTACTTTATACGTCTCCTTTTTTTTAATGTGTTTTCCATCATTTTTGTGTTTTTTTTATGTTGATCATACCTTTGAATAATGTTTTAATGTCTCTCAGAATCTTCTCTAATTAGTATTTAGTATCGATTTTTAGCAATCTATTTTAGTGTTTTTAGTATTAGTGGCCCTCTCTCGTGCGAGGTTGTTGCTGTGAATATTTCTCCTCCTGGCACTCTCCTAGGCTGCAGGGAGCCTGGCAGGGACTGGGCTGTGCTGCGTGGCCTCTGCGCGTGGCCACCTGGACACCCTCCTGCCGCTTGCAGAGGGCCGAGGCTTGGGGCTGCCGTCGCAACAGGCCGTTTGGCTGCTGTTTGTGCTTTACCTGTGCTGTTTCTGGGCCAGCATCTCACCTATTTAAAAGGACGAGTGGCGTCCAAAGTCAGGTTGCTCAAGAGTACAAACAAGCTCAAACCAAACGTGCTCCCGCAAAAACAAGAATAACGGAGAGGGCAGCAGAGCGCTGCTGCTTTGGTGTCACTGTTTGGAAAAAACAAAAGCACAAGTTCTCTTAATACATGTTTGTAAAGCCATTTTAAGTACTCTTAAACCGTACCCTTGAAGCTGTTTGCAGGCCCCTGATCTGAGACTTGCAGGAGGCAGCCAAGTCATCGCACCCACACCTGGGAGCTGGAAAAGCCTCAGTGTCAATCAAAGGAAGAAACTTCCCTCCCTAATTTTATCATCGTTAGATCTGCAAAAGTCTCCAAATTTAGCAGGATAACTTAAAATGTGCTATACCTTTTCATCCCCCTGCTTGAGGCTTCTAGCAGAAGGTGCCTTAAGACAGGGGCCAGCTTAACCTTCCTCCATGCCGATGAAGAACTATGCTGAGGCTTCCAAAATAAGTTGCATTTACAGCTGTTTAAGTTTGCCTCTTGGAAAAGCTATTTTAAAACTGTCTCCTCAAGAGGACAGGGACTTGCAGCATGCTCTGTGCACGGCTCCTCCAAACCCCAGCACCGCTCTGATTTGTGATGCGCCTAATGGGCCTGTTTCGCATTTGGAATTTTGATTCACAAGGGCCTAATGGCCTTTAAGTGAATATTGCCTTAACGGAGACGTCTGTGGGTAGGCTCTGCAGAGGAGGTGGTCAGGGAAGGATTTATTTTAAGGGATGGACGTGTTCAGCTCGGCAGATTTGCTGCGGCTTGCGCGACGCTGCGCACGGATGAGCTCCTGCGCTGCCCCTTCCCGCTCTCCCCGTTCCCTGCAGGCTTGTGGCTGCGGTAACGAGGGCCTCGCGAATCGGACGCCATTCCGGCGCGGGCGCTCTCGGCGTGTTCTCTCGCGCACACAGATGTGCGGCTTTCGCGGGCATACCGTTACATACGCGCAAAAAGCCGCAATTTTAATAATGAGTGTCAGGGGCTAGGCAAATAGCAAGGCAGACGGACGTGGCTGGGAGCAGGCGTCGTGACGCACGGGTGGGCGAGGAACCAGCTTTTCCCTTCCCACGCGCTCCGGGTCCTGGCAGCGTCTCGGCCTGGGCGCTTCCCCGCCAGCTGCTGCACGGAGCCCGCGACAACGGACCGGCCTCCCTGCTCCACCCTGGCGAGCAGGGGTAAAGCAGGGTCGCCAAGACCCCCAGATCCTCATGAACGGTCGGGAGCTGCTGCTGCAGCCCTCCTCAGGCTCATACTGCTCTCATCGACTTTGCTTTTCTGGCGTAATTTTGTTAGGAGTTTCTGCGTTGCAAACGATGTGTGACTGCGCCGCGCACGTTGGCCATCATAAAAAGTCAAGGAGGAAGCCAAGAGCCACGTGCAAAGGGGAGGGGAAAGCCGTGCTCGAGGTGCACAGCGCGTCAGTCCTAGCAGCCCTGCGCGAGCACCGCTGCGAGGGAGCAGCCCGCACGCTTCTTGTTACCGCTGGAACTGGATCCACTTCCCACTCTGCCTTTTCCCACCGTAACGTGGGTTTGTTTAAATCTGCTCGCGCTTTTTTGCTCTGGGTCAGGTCCGTTGGCCTTTATTCCCAGGGCTTCCTGGTGGAAGGAAGAGGTGGGCGATTAGCTCTGTACAGGGAGCCTCTTCCCTCCCTCCCCGCGCGCAGGGCGGTCGTTGCTGCAGGACGTTCACGTGCTCTTCCTGCCGAGCTGCATTTGTCCCTCACATCCGATTCCCTGGAGTCCCAGTCAAGCGGCGGGTGCTTCCACAGTGCTTGCCGCTGCCGCGTCTCCAACAGCAGGAACGTCTGTCTCGCGTTCAGCATGGCCCTGGGGTGGTTTTGCCCAGTTTCCCAGCAATGCCTGTGGGGGAGCTGTTCCTGTGTGGAGTTGAGGCGCCCGCTCGCGTTCCAGCCTGCCCTCGTTTCGGAGTTCAGTGCACATTGGCTCACTCGTTCTTGTTCTTCACCTCTAAATCACAGCTTAGGCAAGTTATGCACAGTGTAATTAATGCTCCCTCAGCAAAGTAGGCTGCCTGGCCCTCATTATTATGTGTATAAAATACGTGTATTATATCCCCTCGTATATATATGTTTTCACAGCTCCTTCACTGGCCACGCGTAGCCGCACAGAGGCCGTTTGCAGGCACGTGCGTTACCCGTTCCCGTTTGCTCCCAGCCGTTGGTTATTTGTCCCTCCTTGCTGGCCCTCCCTTCCCCTCCTGGCAGGGAATTGCCCAGAGTGGTTGCTGCGCTGCCTGGCTCCCCTTGCAGCTCATTATCAGCCCGGCGGCGCCAAGCGCGGCCCCTCAGCCTGTCCCTGTGGTGCGACACGTGGCTGTTATCGCAGCTGCCCCGCAGGCCGCTCGCGCTTTGTGTCCCCAGCCGCGGCCATTTGGCTTCTGATTTTCTAATAAGAAGCTCTTTACTCTTTACAAAGGCTTCAGGTTGCCCTTTTGTGTAGTTGCGGGCGCCGTCTTTGTGGGTCAGCTGAGCGGGGCTCTGCGACGCTGCCCGCGCTTCCGATGCCTTTCGTCAGTAGTTACCTCACCAAGGCAGACCTGATCCCGTGTCATCTCCATTTCTTCCCTTTTCTTCTTGCCGGTCTCCAACTGGTTCATCCTGTTCCGCATCCTTCCTGTGGCAGTAGCCAGCTTTTTATTGGAAGGCGGAATAGCTCATCCGGCCAAATCCGCAGGGTTGTCCATCAGGGCAAAAACACCCTCCTGATCCTCGCTGCTGATCAGCTCATGTCCCAGAGCACCAGGATTGCTCACTCCTGGTATTTTTAAACCTGACTAATGCAGCTACATATGTTATTCTTCCTTATATAAACACATAATCCTTTTTTAATCTTGCCGAAAAACTTGTTCGCGTGGGATCTTGTGATGCTGAATTTTACCAGCTGATTTACAGATAGCTTTTAAAAAGGCCTGGTTAAAAAATAAATAAATAAATAAAAAGGTGTTTAAATTTGCTGCCTCTGACGTTGAATTGCCCCTTGGCTCCATTACATAACAGGACAAGCGGGAAGACTAGTAAGTTCCATTCTCCTTGTTTTCTACATCTCTAATCCCTTCTTCCTTTTATTTCAGAACTCAATAATCGGCCTTTCAAACATGCCTTTTGTAAATCCCCTGCCTCTGGCCGGGTTTTCCAGCTCCGTTGCGGGTTTCTTGCCGAGCAGGGGCGAGGGGCAGAGCTGCGCTAGCGGCAGGTTGAGCTCCCGTGTCCTGAAGAGGTATCGGGCTCTCAGCCGCACCTTCCCCATCGCGTGTTCTCTCTGCCCGTCCTGCTTGGAGGCTCCTGCTAATACCGGTGCCTTTTATTGGTGGGTAATGAGGATAATTAGCGGCCTTTGGCTGTGCAGAGCTCCGTGCCGCTTTGCTGGCATCAGGGGCAGCCAGACAGCTGCCCTCTTCAGCACAGAGCAAGGATCTCCCAAAGCCAAGGCTGAAAACAGCGACCACCACCTCTTACTTTAATACACAGAGGCACCTCTGCCTCCTCTCAGCAGCCGTGGAGCAAAGTTGCCAAACTCTGCTAAATTTATCGCTTCTTTTGCCATTCGCTGTTGACAAAGTGCCGGATCACTTGCTTCATTTCCAAATATGATGGTGGAATTCCCAGCTTGATTGGAGTTCTTGCCGATAACCTGCGGAGTGCTTACTCTGGGCTCCCCTCTCCGCGCCGCTCCTGTCGCTCCTGGCGTCGGTGGCCCGGAGGGGACTGTGTCCCAGCGCGGGTGGCTGTCACCTCTGTGCCGGCAGAGGCCTGGCCTCGTGGCCACAGCCGCTCTCCCCTCGCTCTCCTTTTAAAGCTCCCCATTTTCACAGTACTTATCTTTCCAGAAGATCGTTCCAGCTGGTTTATCCTACCCAATATGTGGGGCTTTGGTTGGTTGGTTTGGTTTTGAATAAAATTTCAACTGTTTCAGAGCTGTTTCCTGACAGCTGTGAAACCTCTGATACCTGAGAGGAGTTAGGTGTGTTCTTTGCCCATTTAGTGGTACAACTTACTAACATGGGCAGAGATTTCTGCTGTAGAGAAATCAGCTTGACGGGCTGGGGGGTTAGCTTGATGGTAATTGCTGCACATACAAGCTTATTTTTCATCCTTTTATGCCTGCATTCAGCATTTAAAAGGATTTCCTTAGGCAAATGGAAGGGGAAAGCTCCGCGTGGCCCCGGCTTGTCCGTCTGTAAGCGCTGGCCCCGCGTAAGGCGCCAGCAACGTTACAACCTGTGAAAAGGGGCCGTGTTCGGAGGCTCACCAAGAAGCGCTCCCGGACTGTAGCCTTAAATTTGTTCGGACCGTATCGCTTCCTTGGTGGAACAGTCTCTGGGCAGCCTTATACAACCCGAGACAGCTTCTTTGCTCTGTTGAAGAGTATGACTTGTTCAGTTAAACAAGGAAATCTTTCTCTAAGGTATAAGCAATGCTGCCTTAAAATTGTGTGCTCCCGCAAAAATGGATATTCCTGGCACCTGTCCGAGTGGGATTTGAAATGACTTGATACCAGTGTTTTTGGATCCCATGAGGAACTGGGTCAGCTTTGTCTTATTTGCCCTTAAGGGAAAAAAGAAAAATTATTTCGCGTTGGCAATTTGAGCAGCCAGAGAGGCACTGGAATGATGCCAGAGTCCACCCGCTCCGAGTCCCTGCAGTTGGTTTTGTTACCTTTTATGCTGAGAGGTCAGAATATGTGAAAGTGCCTTTCAAAGTGCTTCACATCCTCTACTTGAATTCCAGCAGTGGCCCTGGGAGAAGCCCGAGAGCATCTATTGATTACAGGGTTGGTATTACTTTTTTTTTTTCTATTCCCCAAAGACACTTTTTCAGTAAGAGGGCCAAAAAATGCAGGAGTGCCATACAGATAAAAATACTAAGAATAACAACGAGGAAGGCGGAGGGGCTGAAGTGCTTGTTTAAGGAGGGCGCTTTTGTCGAAAGAGCGAAGGAACGCTGCGATGAAGGCAGATATGCCACGCTTCCTCGAGAAGGGGGGAAGGACATGCAGGAATTTTCAGACTAACAGAGAGCAGCCAAGGCCATGCCTTGGTGTCGGAGAGCCTGTAATGTTCCTAATGAAGGGGGTAAAGGAAGGGGCGCCCGCAGCGGCTCCGTGCAGCTGCTCTGCGGAGGGGGAGAGCTGATTCCGCCCCTCAAATGCTGCTGAATCCTATTGGATTAAGGAGCTCTCTGTTTGCTCGGATCGCGCCGAGGAACGCGCGCACGTGTGCCTGCAAGCCCTGGAAGGAGCTGGATGCAACATGGTTTAAAATGTGTGTTGTCTTCCAAGCCCCGCGCGGGGTGGAGCGATGCCCGCTGGAAACAGCCGTTCGGAATAGCACGGGCAGGCGGTGGCACCAGCAGCCCAGCAGCAGTTGTTCAGAAGGCAGGTTAGCTGGACGTGTAATATGTTTAGGTCCCGGCTAGATTTTGGGTTGAGTTTTGCTTCAAAACAACACCTGGACAAATATCTGAAGTCACTAATACTGCAATCTTCAGAGATTTTCAAGTCTGGATAGTGAGAATTTTGAAACTGCCTGTTTTTGTAAGGCTTGTTGTATCCCAGTCAAAAAAGAGAGCTTGGACGCAATGGACACAAGGCATCTTCTAGTGTTAATCCAAGAATTATAAACATGGTGTGTGGAGGGGAGCATAGGGTCAAATACTGAGTACCCAAGACTACTGCTTGCTAATAGCAGAGGGGGGTTGTTTGTTTAATTTTTGAGTCTTTTGAGTAGTAATTGGAGTTCACTGAAGTTC